AACGAGTGGGGTTCAATTAAATTAAGCTTTCTCATGGCGTTCAATGTCTTGTGTTGGGGTTCAAAGATAAGGCGTTGTCTGTTTAAGTTGACTCTCCGTGGTTGGGTTCAATTGTCTGGCTCTCTTTTATACGGCGATAACTGGTGGGGTTGTCCTTCTGTCTTGTGTCTTTTTTATGGCAGGGACTTGAGATATCGCTGTCGGGGGTCATTCCTAGTTTAGGGTGCTAGAGTTCAAATTTGTTTATAGTTAGTATTCCCTACACCAAATTTAAAGGATTTATGTGAAACCAGATGTTGCACGCTAGAGGATATACTTGAGGAAAACTAGGCATAATTAAAATATTTGAAATGTTCTCGAAATCAGCCATCATGCATTGAACAATATTATAACATCCTACCAGCATTCATAGAACCTCAACTCATTCAGTATTATCAGTATAAACAGTCTCGTAAAGTTTTGTAACGTCTACCTTTTTAGCAAAATGTTTCTAGCTTCTCCGCGCTGCGATGTTGAAACAAAATAACAGAAATTAATTATTTACAGAAACGTTTCCAACTTATCAGTTTCGAATTTCATGCGTGTAGTGATAAACAAGGCTTCAACCTCGTTTGCTTTCATGATATCTCGACCTGTCAGAGATCTTTTCTTTCACGCTCCACATCAGACGTCACATTTTACCTTAAGCATTAATTTCCTGCTACGCGTCTGGTGGGGACAACTGATAAACTGGAATAAAATATTTAAATTTCCGCTAATTTCATTTATATTTAAAAATCTATTTCCTGTCGCAGGGGTGTATGAAAATGATCCCATTCAAATGATTATTAGAAGGAAAATTAGCATTCGATAGTGAGAACGAAATCTGAAACGAATGCAAATATGGCCGTTGGCAAGTTATTTTTTTTTTTAATTTAAGCGCGATTAGATTGAAGAAAACCCTGATACAGCTTTTTGAAATATACTTTATTTCTTATTTAAATTCTTGATCTTATTTCTTGTCAGATTTCTTGATCTTATACATTATGCCCATTGTCAGTTGTAATCTCACGACAGAACCTCGATCGGAGCACCGCTACACGTTAGAACCTCGATCGATGACCGCTACACGTGAGTTCTTGGAGACGTCTTCGCATATTCATCGTGTTGATATAGTCTCGCACACGACCGTTTATATGCGAGAAGATTAGTTGAGATTGATTGTTCAAATGCTCATGCCTTATGCCCTTCTAATGTTCTGACCAATAAGTGCATGGAATAGAACGCACCGGTTGCGTATTCACACGCGCATACTGTGGATTCATTGAGAATCACCGTAAAAAATTTGGGATTGTTACATTTTAGTGTTTTAAGCTGTATATAGGAATACATGAGTAACATCATACGAACGACCTCTAACTTGTCCTGTCGATCGTCACGTTCGCTTGTTTTTATACGCCGGCGCCAGCCATGTGAATCCAATTACCGACTAATAGGAACTTTTTACCAGCCATCAGCGAACCTCAAAAATAGCATTTTATCGCAAATATTTCGAGGATTTTCTATTAGTTCAAGATTAAATATGAACTCAATTTTGATGTTTCGATTGGTAGTTACTACAGTTATAATGCCTGCATTTTTTACTCTGCAGGTGGAAATAGTGCAATCTATGGAGACAATTATTTCTTCTCTGATTACGTTTTCTGATTATATCTGATAAATATTATTTCTTGTCTGATAACGTTTCAAGACACCTTTAATTACATTTGCGCGATAATTCCGTTATTTCATGTGTTGCTTGCTTCAGACAATTATTAAATATTTTTAAGATAATTCTCGGTGTTTCAACGGATTGTTATGTTTGGTTTCAGGAAAATTTGTTTAATTCCACTCGTAGTTTATTTCTATCTTTCCTTTGTTGTATTGTTATCTGCCTTGCTTGTTTATTTTTCGTCATTAGAAATGTTCTTCGTTATCTATATTTTGCTGTAAGTCTCTGATGTCAAGAAGTTACTAGCATAATATAATTTTGAATTGAACGAAACTATTACGTCACATTGAATTAAAGAACGAAGACTTAGAAGACCTAGTTAATCAGTGAGAAAACTTTTTCTTTTCCGCTTGTTCAACGGAAACCTGTTTGCAGACAGGATTCCGTGATCACTGAGCAATAACAAATTTTGTACATTCAAGATTTTTTTATAATTTTCAGTTTTGTCTGAAAATAATGTGTCTCGTTAACTTTAAAAAAGATTGCAGCGAGCCGTATCGTAGATTATTCCTGGATCTTATAAAATGGCAAGTCATTATATTGGCACGGGCAAACACTTGCAAAATTCATATTTATAACCTTAGATTGTTGAGCTCATCTCATGCGTTTCTTGGAAGTTGAAGCAGTTTTCTTGATATGTAGCAGACGATAAAAAACTTTTGTTGGGTTTCTTCTTTACTTCTCGAGTGCGTCCAGCTAGGCTGAAGGCTTCATTTGTCTTATTCTCTTCGGCCTTCAAGGTTTGTCAACAGAATTTCCTCATAAGCTTTCATTACCTATCTAGAATTTTTCTTGGTAATTTTTTTTTCAAATCTTCTATATGGCCCATTATTCGCTTGGACTGTCAATCGAAAGAAGCAGTTTTTTGACAATTTTGGGATTCGTGATCCTCAGTCGAAACTTTTAAGAAAAGCTGAAAATGTACAGTTTAGATAAACGCCAGGCTACCTTATCCTTTCTAAAAACAGAGCTGTCGTACTTCACCTTTTATAAGATCATTTCGGGTACTTAACGGGAGCCTGCCTTTCAGGAGGAAAATTTGAAAATATTTTTTTAGTTTTGCAAAGTATATAATCACCAAATTCCTGCGTAGGTACTTCATCATCTATTCTCCTATACCAATCGTTAGAAAATACATATTTTTCTGAGAGAGAAGTTGAATTAAATAACCGAGTCTGAATAATAAGACCAAATTTAACGAATATTTCGTAAAAAATTTTGATTGTCAAAAAGAAACTTGTGTTGTTCTTTCTGCACTGAAATATGAGGGTATTTGTACAGAATAATTTCAACGATGAGAGCATCGGCAGGATAATTCACCCAGAAAATTGTCCATCAAGAAACAGATTGTATTTTTATTCGGGATCTTTCCATGAAATTCTGCCGGCAGCTTTTGAAACCATGACTTTGGCCGGAGCGTCTCTGCATCATTTGAAGTCCATTTGTGGGCCGATGGAAGTTCAGATCAGGTTCATGGCGAAGGTCGTTCGGCTTAATGATCATGAATTGTTATAATTATTTTATAGAGTAGGGTCATTCCAAGTACAGTTGTGACGTGGGTGAAGAATAAAATTAATTCTAAAATCGATGAGTGATTCGTATAATTTTTTATCTCCAGTAAAATTACAAAATGAGTCTACACAAGGCCATGCAGGATCACTAACTTCAGTCATAGCGAAGTATGGTAGTACCCATTTGACATTTAAGTACCCATTTCTAGCATTCAAGTCTTTCACATTGATAGTGATAGCAAATAAGTTGACTCATTACATTTTTATTAATTTTTTGTCAGTTTGCGCTAGCAAAAAAAAGCCCCAGTCTCCCGGTAACTCATTCACGGCCACATGCACGAATACCTGCAAACAATGAATACTAAAAGCTCGAGCATGAGTGCTTTTAAAGAACGAACGAATGATTTTTATATTCTATCAGAACTATAACAGTAGTGTGCTGCACTTCTTTCACCTCGCTATCGATCCTATAGTTACCTAAGTATATATAAGCGCAGTGAATAAAATGGAGGTTTATTTGATCACGTTTTTCCTTGACGTATCGCCAGTCGGGAGTGTCATCGGCCCTCGATGGTCAATCAGTTTATTGATGCTTCGTTCGTCATTGTGAATGATTCGGACAGTAGCAGGATGCTTGCATCTTCAGAATGCGGATGCATGGTGACAGGAAATGCGTTGCCTTTGAATGCGGACGCATGGTGGCAGGAAATGCGTTGCCTTGAAATGCGGACGCATAATGGGAAACGCGTTGCCTTGGCATGCGGACGCACGGTGGCAGGAAGTGCGGTGCCTTGAAATGCGGACGCCTGGTGGCAGAAAATGCGTTGCCTTGGAGACGCATGATAGGAAGAAATGCGTTATTCATGAGATCAGTGGTCCGGCACGGGCTTAATACAAGTTCAACTGCAGCTGACAGCCAATTGATTCCGATGCCTTTTTACTAATTCAATACCAGGATTAAAGTTTGAATGCAAAATTGCAATTCGCTATATGTAAATAATTTACGAGGTAATGTTCATCATAATGATAATTTATACTGTTCTGGAAAACAATATTAAAAAGGTGGAAAGTCCTTACAATTATGGTACAGTTGATTTCTGGCAGTGAATTTGGAATTTGAGTTTGACGCCAGGTCGATAATACCATTCGTCGAAGTTTATGTTCGGGTTTCAACATAGTAAATAACTCGACGTGAGCTTTTTCTTTGGCACGAATATATTAACTGTTTTTTATTTCATTTTTTCAAACCTTTTTATTCAGTATGGGTTCTTCTTTTCATGGAAGGGCGTCAATTCTGGTTTATAGCATGGAGATTCAAGCTGTCTGAATTTGGAAACTGCTGTTCATTCACTTCACTTGCCCGATATGATGCGGCTATCACATGTTATAATTTTGCACTAATTTGTACAGGGAGTGGACAGTATGAATCGAATTTCTGCTTGAATCTTGTTTTTTTTTCTTGATTGGATTGTTTCTGAGCGTTTCAAATTGAGAGTTTGAGTAGAAAATATTTTTTCGATTTTTTGAATTGAATTTCAGAATGTTCGTGTTGGAGTTTCAACCATTGCAGCGGATTACAGCGCAGAATTTAAGAAATCGATCATGTGCTTGGTTGATCTGTATTGTATGTAATTTAATGGAATTGTTGCAATTGAAATTATATTTTCCTACACAATTATTTATAAAAACAATTGAATCATTACAAATGACCTCTAATTTTCTTGTCTCTTCCTACACAGATTCTTCGAAAAGGCAAACGACAAGCAGATCCTGGATTTTTTGTTGCACAAGAGCACGTACGACAAGAGAGTGAAACCAACCTCTGAAGGTAAGTTATGATCTCTATTACTTTCTATATATTTCGTATTATAAGAGAGTTTCATACTATATTATTAACCCCCTTCACTAATCCAGTCACTACTAAGTCCCTTAATTTTTAAATCATTTGATCAAATATTAATCAAATGCAAAGTTTACTTATTAAACGAAGACTAGACAGTTTTCGTGGTCATCATCTTTACATAAGATTGTCATCAACTCTCTCTTAGTTCATGACAGTAGCCTAAAATCTGTAGAGTTTTGGCCTCTATGATATGGTCTAAAGATGGGTACAGAAATGATGATTTTTACCAAAATTTCCATCAAATAGAACATTTTAGCCAATTTTTCTTTGCACTAAGTCAACAAAAAGTTGCTGTCTTAGTTTTCCATGGCCACTGAATTTAAGTGACGCAATTTTTTTCTCATTTTTTTAACTGAGGGCATTTTTTCCCATTTTTTCAATTGAGGGCATTTTCATTTATGGAGTAGTGTTTAGGAAAAGGTTTACGCCAACAAAAATATGGTAAAGGTGTCTTCAATGTTACTTTTAGTAATCTTTTTGTGTTCTATTTTTTTCAAATGGGAGGAGTCACTGGGGGACCAGATGTTGGATCATGTAGGTTGGGTAATATTTTATAACTTTTGACGATGTTGTCTTTGGGCTGGCGAATTCTCGACTAAACCAACTCTTGAAGAAAAGCCCCCTGCGTTAGCAATGAATTCATTTAAACTGTGAAAGGCTTTCTCGCTAGCTCGTTATGTTTTATTTGTTGCTTATGAGTTATACCTTCATAGAAGGCAGCCTGCGGGTTTATCTTGTGATCCAGTGAAGCCATAAGAAAATGGCAAGTTTTCATTTGTATCCGCTTCTTATATGGCGTAAATAGTCTGCGTGTTATAATATTATATATTTTTCAGATATATTTTTCTTGTGGGGTTGTTTTCATTCTAAAACCAAAGTGCTCTCGACTTAGAGTTATGATATTAATTAATTCCAAATATTTTTTTCAAATGCGGTTCTTTGAAACGCAAATGTACATGCGGGAACTAATTACTGATCAGTAATTAGTTTGCTATACCTAATGCCTGAATGAATATTTGTTTCGGAAATATCTACCGTTTGAGAAACGTTGAAAAGTCTCAAAAGTGAAGACAAAAGAATCCAAATTAAAAAATAAATAAAAAGCAAGCTCCGATTTATATACGTTTTTTTGACCCATTGAAATCAGCGGTCCTCATAGTTCGAAATTTTGCAACATCGTTTCATGAATTACATAAAAAAATGATGAATTTTCTGTGTTATAAAGACACAGACACTCCAGGTCTTCGACATGAGTATAGACGTAAAATAAAAAGTTTGACAAAGTTATGTTTTTTGTGTATGCCATATTACATTGCTATCACTCGCTGCATCACTACTTGTTCGCGTACCACATGCGAAGAAATAATTATCGAGCGTCATCGATGATTAACTTAACTAATTGGATGTGAAAAATTTGTCCCTTGCTTATGCGTGAATATGACGTTCTAATAAGCTCCAAAACATCGTGAAAACCAAGATTGTTGGCATGACTAACGAGCTTCTTTTAATACTCACTGATAATATCCGCAAGCAATTGGGTTACCTCAGGGCGAAACGTCGTCAACGCCTCCGGAAAGCAAAAATATGTTAGTGGAAGTGAACAGCGGAGAAAAGCTTCCACAAGAAAACATCTGTGCCGCTGACTGGTCATTAAGTTGCCTAACAAATGACTATCAGGGCTCCAGGAGTCTCGGATTCCCAAGGCTAACGACTCTTGTGAGGGGATGAACAAGAAAGACCTTGCAACCTTGAGTCTCAAGACTGTTGTTCCGTCAACAAGTGGCGTGTGATTAGGTTCAGGCTTAAAATTGGCGTGTTCTGCAAGATCGAGGTCGACCTACTCAATCCTTTATGTGCAACAAACTATCAATTAATCCAGAGGGGACGAACTTTGTGAAGAAATAAAGTGTTAAATTCCACATAATATGTGAGTTCATTTTTTTTATCAGAAATTCATCAAACAGTAATTATTCGAATGTTAACATAATCATATGCCTCAGCAAAAGTTTCCTGTTAAGTATTTACTGATTCTCATTCATATGTGTGAGTAAAGAAAGAAGATTAGTATGTCAAACGTTTTCATGTCTTCACTAATCGCGGGAGAAAGAATTTATTGGCGTAGATTTTCGAGCTAAATTTAGTTCAATTGACCAGCGCTATGAGCACCATGCGCTATGAGCATAGTTAGAGGAACGGGCAGCATAGGAATTTATAATGTTAACATCTTTTGTGAAACTATGAGATTTTCGCGCAGAACATTCATTTTAAGAGGTAATTAATCTTAAATTGTCTTGGTAGAACTCCAATGATTTTATTAGTACGAACGAGCTGGTTTGTTATGTTCTCTAGGTGAACTGTGAACAAACTGCAGTGGACATTTTGTCTGAATTCTAGTAGTCTTGTCTTGAGTGATTTGAAAACGTAGCTGAATCATTGTTGCAAAATGCAAATACTCTTATATTGACCACTGATTTGATGAATGGAAGTGTGCCAATAATCTGAGTTTTGTTGAGTCATTGCTGGTTTGAAAAGAGAAAAGAGTGGATGATTCTACACCGCTTCGAACCATTTTTTAAGTAGATGGTTGAACTGATTATGTTATTGTGAGTTGGTCGATTTTTCATGCGGGTATCTAAGTGAGCGGTCTTATGAGATCTGTTAATTTGAAGCACTGAAGGAAACCGTTTTGCTGAGCTGTATGGGCTCTCTGCTTATGCTAACCGAGAAAGATACAAGAATGGTGTTTTTCCCGGCATCCAATTAAAGCGTCGAGAAAAAATGAAGCCCGATTGCGTTCGGACAGCAGGATGAGCGAGGCTCTGAAGAATTGCGCCTCGCGCAGATTACTTTTTTGTTCCCATGCAAATGCACACAATGGAAGCGACTATAGTTCTGCCGTGCCTGGTAAATATAATAATGAATTAGACATTTTCAGCCAGGCTTTCGCATCTGTGCTTGGCGGCCTTACAAAATTACATTAGTTTCAGAAAAAAATACGACGTAAAATTTACTAAAACAATTAATTTCGTGCTTGCATATTTTCAACTACAGATCAAACTATTTGATTACAGCGTCTCGACGTTTCAGTTTAACTCATGAGATGTAACATATGTGCATTATTATTTTTCTCAGCTGCCTAACAGTCTAACTGAAGTTGAAGTTTGGGCTTTATGATGGCAATGCGATGCAATTAATAAATAATTCATCTGTGAATACTGAAATTGACTTGAATTTCAACTCGGAAAATTTTCAAAACAAAAAACGATTAACGGTGTCTGAATTTAACTTAATATGATCGAGTGTACTTTTTGCAAAAATTGAAGCTTTTCCATTTGGGGTTTCAAATTCTAATTAAAAAAGAACCTTCTTAACAGTTTTATTCATATGATATGTAAGTAAGTGGCAGTTCGAGCGTAGGGTCATTTTAATGCACTTGTCCGTAAGTCAGGCGGCACCGACGCTGGCCAAAGTTGTTCTCCCGGTCGACTGTCACAGAGCACCCCGGGGACCAGGAGATCTAAAGTTGCTGTCACGGTTCCCCTTTAAAGAGATTAATGGTGCAAAACACGCGAAGCATGGAGACCGATTTGTTTATATTGACTTGTTTGCGGTGAAAAAGTTTTATACCTAAACTGCGAGTTTATGAATAAGAGGAATAATTCTTTCTAGGTATTAGTTCTACAAACATTATTTGTAGTTGATGATTTTCTTAAAATTGTTGTTACATTCTGGAGCAAGGAGTTTAAATTGTATGCTGCGCTGCTAATTTTTTAGTTATTTCTTATATCTGATGCAAGTAAAATTATAACGTTGAAACATTAATTTTTTATAAATCCAGAAAAATTAAAATAAATCAATAATGACGATGGAGACCAAAATGGAGTAATAATAATGAAGAAGTATATAAATTAAAATTAAAGTAAAATGCTCCCAAGAATCCGTTTAATATGGTTTCGGGTATCCATCTAGAACATTTACAACAAATTCCAGCTAAACAGGGTAGTTAACATTATGCTTCTTCCGTAAAAGCATACGCATCATCGCTAATGTTAAAACGAAGTTTAGTAATGATTTCAGAATTAACATGGACTGTAAAACTGTCTGTAGGTCATGCAGAACTCAAGGAGGTTAGTAGAAGTTTATGCTGCAGTACTGAGTTGTGGAAGTCTGAAAAGTGAAATTGTCCTCGATTATGCCATTGCTATCTCTAAAGTGGTTCAATTTGCTTTATTTAGACGCTTCTTTGACCTTAATAGAGAATAGACTAATGAATACGGAAATGAAGTGCTCTGTTCAAATTCAAAACCTGCATCAATGGAATGACATTTTCTGTTCTATTTCTGGATTGTTCTAGCAATTTTTCTCTTTTTGTATTTCTTAGCGATGTTAGAACATTTTCTGTAGATAGACAGGAAAAATAAATGTTTCAATACGACTAATTTTTGTAATATTATCTTAATGCTCAAAGTTTGTAAATAATACTTCAAAAAGTTTTCAGGTCAAGTATCACTGATGTTGATTCCAATAATTTCAAACTATTAAATGATAACACTTGACTTGATCACTAAAGTGTAAATTTTAAGCCGCCAAAAAATAATAAATTAAATTTTTATCAAATTATTAGAATTAAAAAAATTTTAAGGACGCAGCTGACTGAACAATGAAAAGTCACTGGAGTGTTATTTTAATGCCTTGGTACCATTTTTAGTTTTCTGATATTCACCTAAATAATATTCATTTGAAAACCCCGATTTCTCGCTACATATTATATTTTATAATATTTGGCATTTATTTATGGAGCTGTTTAATGTGGCTACGAATTTTACGCAAAAGATATGCGTGTTTATATTATTCTTCAGCAAGTGACTCTTTGGGAGGTGATTTGTCTAGCTGACAGATCACTTTGTTGCATCCTTGTTG